CCCCCCGCGCGCGACACGCGAGGCGGGTCTCCATGCGGGCCCGGCCACCAAGCCCCTCCGGCGCGGCGACCTCACCGTGACGGTGACTTCGTCGTCGTGCAGAATGAGGGCGGAGTAGATGCAGGCGAGCTCGGAGACGGAGGCCATGGCGGGGAGGTGGGGGCGCGCGGTGCCAGTCGCCGGGAACGCGGCCTTAGCTTCGGCTGAAGGACGCAGCACCTTCTGCGCTACGACAAACAGAACTGAGAGGCGGACGAGGCCCGACCCGGCGCTTATAAGTCGCGCCGCAGCCAATCACGGGCCGCCTCGGCCGAAGCGCCCCAATGGCGAGGGAGGCGAAAGGCACGGGCCAATTCGGCTCGGCCGCGGGACGGGACTCCGTTCTGGGCTCGACACTCGCGAGAATTGGGAAAGCCAATCGCCGCGACTGGTATTCCCCTGTGAGAGAGCTCCAGGCGCCAATTAGCGAGGGCGATGTTGCTCCGGGCTGCTGAGGCCTTCTGAAGCCTGCGCCGCACTAAAGCTACTTCGATCAACGTATGCAAAAGAAACTAGGAAAAATGGAGCCGCGCGTCGTCGGCATCCCAGATCAATCTGACAGGGATAACAGAAAACGAAGCTGGACTTCAACTTCCAGAACCGCACGCTCTCAGGAAGCGTGGGCGGCATCGCTTCCCTCTTCCGGAGAGGGGAGAAAAAGCATAGAGACGCCGGTTCCCTGTTCAGGAGCCGCTCCCATTTCCTTTCCGGCTGACGATAATGGAGCGCCGGAAGAAGCTTGAGCGGGAAAGAGCGGCGCGGGCGCCTCTTGCGTCACGGCAGGGGACGACGGGAGTTGCAGTTCGGAGCCCTCCCGTCAGTCCGGATGGACACCCTAGAGTCCTTTGTGGGCCGTGTAGGGACACCGGATCTGGGCTGCGACAGCCAGGGCGGCCACTAGAGGGCAGCGGGTCTGGGCCGCGAAAATCTCGGTGGCCGCTGGAGGGCAGCAGTGAGACCTGGAAGACGCTTGCTCTGGCTGCTGCCCCCTGTCGGGCATTCGGGTCGGTGCAGCCCAGTTCCTGAGTATTTAACCCTGATGTGTTGCTGGCCTAGTGCCTCAGTTAACTCAGTGTTTTTCAAACAAGGCCGCTTTAAGAGGGGTGGACTTCAACTCCCAGAATTCCCCAGCCAGCATTCTGGGAGTTGAAGTCCACCCCTCTTAAAGCGGCCAAGTTTGAAAAACACTGAGTTGGTAAATAATGTTGAGTGGGCATATTAAGTCTCTTATGGATTGAAACACACCTAGGCGCTCTTACATTCTCACCTATTTAGGAGTGCAGCGCCTTTTGCAAACATATACGTACCTAGCCACGTGCGTGCCTGCGCTTTGATTATTCCAGGGCTCCTCTAAGGAGATGGATCAAGGCTCGGGCCTCCAATGCGCATAGCAATTCAGTCCCAGCATCCCAGTGTTGTATGACCAAAGACTGAGGTCACCTGCAGGGCCACCAGCCCGCCTCGCTCCAAGAGCCGCCCACTTTCTGGGTGATTTGGCTAATGCACATATATATTTTTCTTTATTAATCAAATTTGCATGCTGCCGAAATCGCAAGACTGTCAGCAGCTGTCAGGATTTAAAAATGTAATAATGTAGCCCAAAATAAAGAATGTTATGGCCCTGCTGGTCTCCTCTTCACAGGAGGAGGAGGAGGAGGAGGTGGTAGAGGCAGGAGCTTCTAGGGATCAGAGTCCTGGAGGGGGTGATTCCAGCAATGCTGAAGCCAACTGACTCCATTCTGGTTGAGGCAGGTCAGCAAACTCCCAGGACACCCTGCCTGCACCTGTTGACAGCCTCTCGGACTCTGAGGCCCACCTACCTAGTCCCCAGCAGGGATGCTTTCAAGGTACCACAGAGGGAGGAGCTCCACAGGTCAGACAGACTGGCCAAGGAGCAGGCAGGCCGGGGAGTAGACTCCAATGAGCCATGAACCTCACCTGGGCATCTGGGTGGTAGCTCAGCGTGGCTTATTTGTTGGCCTCCCTCCCGGAGAGAAAATACTTGAGAACAACTTTTCAAGCCTCAGCTCTGTCCTGTTACCTTTCTGTGCTGTGCCTCTCTTTGAACTCCGGATTCCACCTCACCGTGTCTCTCGCCTTCTGCCTTGGATCTGTTGTTTGTTTACTGGAGTCCTGGTCTCAACCCGCACCAAGCCTTGACTATGTTATAGCTGCCGTCTTTAGCTTTAGGTAAAAAGGACTCTTTCCTTCTAAAAGTTCTGCCTGAGTTTGCATATCCCTGGACACCCAGCTTGCTATCTTGCTGGCTGGCAGCCAGCACTGCCAGCCCAGGAAAAGGCAGGTAACACCTGAACAAACTACATGGTGTGAGGCTGCAAAAGCCCTTTGGAAAAGCTCCGTCTTCAGCGTTTTCTGGAAGGCGGGCAATGGTGGAAGTCATTCCTGAGGGCCAATCCTATCGCTGAAAAATAGCACTTCTGGGCTTTGGCTCCCTTGATCCCCCCAAAATGGGGGACCAGCAGTTGCTTCTCCCAGCATGAACTAGTGGTCAGGCTGACTCTATTGGAGAGATGTGGTCCTGTAGAAAACCAGGTGCCAAGCTGTAAAAGGTTTTATAGGTTAATACCAGCACTTTAACTTGCCCCTGGAAGCTAATAGTCTGTCTAGCTAGAGATTGAAGTCCCCTGTACTACTCATGGAGGGTCTCCATCAACAAGTTGGCAATCAGGTCTATACATTATTATTTTGGTTTTAATGATGTTCACCGGGGAAATTTTAACTGGCTACCTGTTTTATTGGAATGCTGCCTTTTTGATTCAGCGTTATTTAAATAGAATTAATGAATTTCTGTACCAAAGAAGGGGTGCAAGGGTACAAGTTAATTACCAAATCACCAAAGAAACTCCTCAGAGAAGGGAAGTTTTGTCGAAGAGCCTATGAAGTAGAATAGAATTATATTTGGCAAGGGAAACATCAAATGAACAAGCAGAGGGACTTGAGATAAGATGATTTACATAAGGTAGATCATGGGAACAGAATGAAGTTGATTTTCCTTCGCATTACGGACTACGGCAAGACCTTTGATGGTACAGAACATGCCAATGTGTGGGACAATTAAAGGCTAATGGATGTGCCAGAATAATGGTTATTCTTTCGAGAAAACTTTACGATGAACACTACTTAAGAACTGAATCTGAAGAAACAGAGGGGTTCACAATAGGGAAGTAAGGAAGACAAGGATGCATGCTGTCACCAAATTTAATCTCTATGGCAGATACATTGTAAAAATAATAGGATTGTAAGAAATGGCACCTAGAAGCAAACTAGGATGCTGAAACCCTAACTTAAGATATGCAGATGACATGATTTTGTTAGCTGAAAACAATGGTGAAAGTAATTAGTAAAGTAAAAATGGGAAGTGAAAAATGTGGGTTAACGTTAAATATTAAAAAGATTATGTCAACCAGCATGCTTAGAGAATTCCCAGTTGAGGGTAAAGAAGTGAAGATAGTAGTTTTGTTTTCTGGACTCAAGATGGACATTATGCTGGAGAGATAAAGTGAAGATTAATTCTAGGAAGCAAATGACAAATGAAATCATACGTATTAAGGGTATTTCAGTAATTGCCAAGATCAGAATAATAAAGCAGTAGTTTTCCCAGTGATATTATACTTTGAAAGATGGACATTGAGAAAGAATGAGAGAAAGAAGATAGACCCGTTCAAATTATGGATCTGGAGATAAGAGCACCAATGGGTTGCAAGTAGAATTGGTCAATCAGTCAGCCTTGGACTAAAAAGCTTAACTGCTCAGTTGTGGCCATAAAGATCAAAAAGGACCTCACTCATACTTTGGGCATGTAATGCAACTGGATGCTAGACTAGAAAACCATGAGCATGCTTAGCATGGTTAAAGGACTAGAAGGGGATGGAAGGGCTCAAAGAAATCCCTGGAATGTGTTTGGAAGAGGTACAAGATATTAATCAAAGTAGGTTGGGATAGCAATCAGTTGTCCAGGCTTTTGTCTCCATGAGTCTACCTGGTCCATATGTTTTCTATATTATTACAAAGCATTGTGTGAAAACTTTGATGGACTGAAGCCACGAGGACACATTAGGACATGATTGGTGGACATTTCCAGACTAGGAAATGTCCACCAATTTCCTCCTCTCCCACCAGAGCCAGCTGGGAACCACCAAGCACTCTCCTTAAAGTGAGATAGGGCTGGGAGAGGAGGCGGGTTTTGGCAGATAACTAGAGTAGCAGATTTAGCTGTCTGTCAAAATTCATTCTGTTTTGCACAACTGTTTTGAGTGGGTACGTTCAAAGAGAGCCTATCAGCTTGTATTAGCTAATAGCCACTCCTTTAGGATATGGGTTTAGTGCTGTTCCAGACAAGGGCTAAAGTCTGTTTAAAAGCAGCCTGAGCAGCTGAAAGGTGCAGAACAACTCAGAAAGGGCTAGCTTTGTCTCCTGCTTCACCATGTAGCTCCTCCACCATCACTGAGGGTTAAACCAGCTGTAGCAGGGGTGGTTAATGGCTATTCAGGAATCAGGCAGAACAGCCATGGGAGGCAGTGCCCAGAGACTGCAGGAGTGGGGTAGTGCCTCCACCAGCTTAAAGCAGCCTTCACCAGTCTGCTCCCACCCCATGAGGGTCACCTCATTGTCCAAAGACAGAATAGTCAGTGGAAGGTAGCAGATGGTATCCATGGTGAAAACTTTGTTAAGATGAAGGCCACATCATGAGGACACAGCAAAGGAGAAAAAAAGCTTTGCTGGGACATGTTAATCATGCTGTTAAATGCAAGTGATGAAGGATTTGGAATGGCTTTTGATTTCTTTAAAGAGTCTGTGAAAATGGGGATTGGAAAAAACCCATTATTCCTTTAGCCAAAGAGAAATGTTGTAAGCGTGAATGAAAGAGCTGCAGGGGAATGAGCCTGTAATGCTTGTGAAGGTGGTTGGCAGAATTCTAATCAAATTGCTACAGGAAATGACAATAAGCAAAATTTTGGAAGTGTGAGGAAACTTTTACGCTGGGCAGTGTGTGTCAAGATTTTTGCTCTTCCACAGGTCAGACATAAATGAATATGGAACTTTATTGTGCACGATAGGAAAAGTATTGATGCCTTTGAACTTTGGTGTTGGAGAAGACTCCTGAGAAGACCATGGACAGCCAAGAAAACAAATCACCTCAGAGTCCTCCCTCGAGGCACAAATGACCAGGCCCAAATTATATTCCCAGTGAGTTGGAAGACAAA